GCCACCCAGCATCTGTTGATGCCGAGGAGAACCCTCCCCGACATCAGCCAGGGGTCAGGAACAACCCCACACCCACCACTCTGCCTCCCCAAAGCCAGTGCCCCACAGCTGTGCTGAGAAAGAAGCGGCCGCATGCCGGGCCTGGTCAGCGCTCAGTGGACGCAAGTGTCGCCTCACCGGCTGCAGAGGCAGGGAGAAGAGCACGTCAGTGCCGGCCTCCCCAGCCCAGGAAGGCGCCTACCAGAAAGCTGAGTGAGGGCACTGCCATGTAGCTTCACTCTGTATCCGCCCCTAGCCCTCCCTACCTCGCTCTGTGACCAGCGCAGGGTCCTGGGACACCCTGGCGGCTTGCTCGCCCCTCTAACCTGCTGACCACGCCTCCCCCCACTTTGAATGGCCTTCAGGAACCCGCGTGCCTCTGGGCCCAGAGGCACTCATGATTCTCAATTCCTAGTAGCCCCGTAGAGCAGGGTGACAAGTAGCTCTCAAAAATATCAAGCCCTAACACTTGGAACTTCTCAGTATGACCTTATTTGGGAAAAGTAGCTTGCAGGCGAAATTAAACAAAGGATTTCGAGATGAGAGCCTCCTGGATTATCTGGGTGGGCCCTAAATGCCATCACAGTGCCCTTATCAGCGACAAGTGAAAGGAGATAGCACAGAGAAGGCAGGTACTCCTGGCTGGTGAGAGGAATGCCTGAAGCATATCCCTCCCAGGCCCCATGCCCAGCAAGGGCTCCCCTGAAATACAGTGTACTGGGGGGGCAGCAGGGAACTTAGCAGTACCCCACACACACCCCCAGCCCGTCAGCACCACCCAAGGCTTCCGGAGCCCGCTCCTGCCATCCACTTGAGTCCCTCACAGCCCAGGAGGGGCGGAGCCGCCCACCTGGGGAGGGAGGATCCTGGGCGGGAGGTGCTCTTAAGGCTGCTAGAGGTGAACGGCACCGCCTCCCTTCTCACCTGGAATAGCTCACCTGGGCTCTGAGCCCGCTGGGTGGCAGAAGCCGGAGTGAACGCAGAGGCGGCCAGTCCCGGACATCAGGTAGGTGCCTCTTCTCTAAGGAGCAGAGAGGAGCCGCAGGAGCCCGCCAACCCTCCTGCACTTAACCCTGTTTCCTCAGCTCCCCCACTTCTGCAGGGACTCGGGGTGAAAGTGGAGAGAAACGAAAGGGGCTTGTAGAGGAGAGGTCTCGGGGCCACAGCCCTGGCCAGCAATTTGAGGGGACTGAATCAGCCCCCAGGGAGGGGGAGGCTACCTGATGTCACCGAGACAGGAGGGGTGGACACAGCTGAGGCCCTGCCTGCTGGCACAGGGCACAAGCCTGGCCCGGAGCCCTCCCGCCAGCCCCTTCAGAGGCTGCCAGAAATCCAGGCCTGCGAGCGGGGCCTTTGCTGGTGTCTCTGCGTCCCTGCTGCTCCAGGTCTTGCTTGACCAGGTCCTGGTAAAAGACATAGAACAACCTGAAGCCACCTTTGAGCTGGGGTAGAGAGGGAGCGATACTATTGAGCAGGTACTTTGGGAGAGACTCGGGCTTCATCTTCCTTTCACTGACCTGGCTGGTGGGCGGAGGAGGCTGTTAGAGAAAAGGCTGTCAGTGAAGCAGAGAAGGGCATTCACCCCGGTATCAAGATCCTCTGCCCCTGGAGCCCTCGGGAACAAAGAAAGAGATGAGTCTGAATCTGAGGGGTGTGGGGGACCGGGACCTCAGGACAGCACTGGCTGCAGCCCCACCCCAACCCACCATATAACCCCCAAACACAGACACACACAGTCTAGAGCCTCGGGAACCCTCCCCTGCCCTACAGCCAGGGGCAGCTCCAGACTGCGGTGTGAGGTAGACAGTAGAGGAGCCAAGGAATAAGGACAAGAAGCCTGGAGGGAGTTCTGGGGGTGCTGAAAGTGAAAAGAGATCGCAGGAGAGTCTGGGGGGCTGACCGCCCTTTGTGGGGTCCCAGGCCCGTTCCCTGAGCTTCAGAATCCCAGGAGAGGCAGAGGGGGAGAGGATTCTGAATGTATGAAGCAACAGCACCGACCGTGGTGCCAAGACCGCCCGGGGTTCACGTCCTGGCCCACCTCTGGGTTCTGCGGGCTGTGTGACCTCAGGCGACTCCTCAGGCTCCCGGCCCCACACCAAGAGTGGGGCTCACTGAGCGGTTGAGACAATGACAGGAATATGTTTTCATGTTTCTGTTATTATGGCACCCCCTTCTACAGAGGGGGCGATCAGGGCCCAGAGAGGAAAGAATCCCCGGGGCCCAACACTGGAAACAAATGATTCCAAGTCAGCCGGCAGGCATCCTGGGTCCCGGTCCTGCAGGGAGACCCGAGGTGCTCCCCAAAGTCCGTAACCCCAGCCTCCTCTAGGGGGGCCAGAATCCCTGCAGGATGCGGAGATCCTGCCCCAACAAACCCAGGCCACTTGGAGACTAAGCGGAAAGCCACAGCCCGTGTCCTTGGCTGCCCCCGAGGCAGGAGGCCGTCCCCTTCCACCGCCATTTATAGGCATGCTCCCCTGCGGGGCGCATCACCCCCAGAACCCCGCCAAGGAGCAGTCTGACTACAGGAGCGGGGCCAGCAGTGGTCTGGCTTTCCTCTGTGACTTGCTGTGTGGCTTGGGCGAACCAGCCCCTCTCTGCAGCTGAGCTCCACGTGGGGCCTGGAGCCCGGTCTGAGACCCCCCTCCGCCACTTTTCTGGATGGGTGGCCTGTGCAGATGTCTGACCCCTCCGGGCCTCAGCCCTCCCTCTGTAAAATGGGCTGGTGAGGGAGGAGCAGCGACTCCCGAAGGTCTCCCGAAGGGGACCCTGCCTAGACACACGGCACCGGGCGCGCAGGGAGCGAGGCAGGGCTTGTGAATCAGGCACCGTGGACGTCCCGCTTCTAAGCGGTATTTACTGGTGTCCAACTGCTTCACAAGCAGCACCTCTGGGGTTCCGCACCCCTCCTGGGAGCATGCGGAGCAGGAATTCTCACTCCCAGCTCCCAGAAGAGTGTCAGAGTGCCACGTAAGGAGCGGGCTGAGCTGGGATTTGAGCGCGAGTTTGCGTTCATTTCCTCTACCCAGTTGTTCTCAGGCCTTTTCCTGCCCTGGGGAGCTAGCTCTAAAGCAGGATGTGGCTGAGACACCTTAGAAAAAGGCAGACAAGGCGTTGGGGACTTTTGGGGAGCAGCTGGTCAGTCTCAGGGCAGGCTGTCGTAGTTTGACCAGCACGTGTCAGCGCCCCGCAGTTTGTAGTCTCAGTCCCAGAACCTCTTACCTCCGATGTCACCCCAGCTACAAGAAACTAGCATGTAGGGGTCTCCCTGGTGGCCCAACGGGTTAAAGCGCAGCTCTATGAAGCTGTCCACAGCCACTGCAGCACGAGTTCCATCCCCGGCCAGGGAGTGACCCACAGGGCGCAGCAGACCTCTCCTGTCTCCCCGCTGCTCCTCTCAGCAGTGTGTTTCAGGCAATTCACCTGTTCTGCTCCCCACTCTGCCTCTGGTGAATCCTCTCACCGCTGCACCTCTGGCCTGTACTCCAGTTCTTGTATGCATAAATAAAGAAATCTTATTTTTAAATAAAAGAAACTAGCCTGTAGCTTTAAGGGTAGACAACAGGATGAACTTTTCACCATAAGGAGAGGAGGAAGTTGGGACATCTCTTTCCCAGACAAGCCCCTAGGGAGAAAATACCATCTGATGATGTCACTCCCCAGTTCAAAACCGCTCCTTGGCTCCCCACTGCCCTCAGGGTTGCATCTGGCCTGCAAGGTCCTGTTGGCTGTGGCCAACTTGCCTCACCCTCCTGTCTTGCCCTCCAAGCACTGTTTTCCAGATGCTCAGTAATGTCTGGTGATCTGCCCTGTCCTCCAGGCCTTGGGACACTCCTGCCTGCTCATGCCTACTTGCCTTCCCAGCTAGTTCCTGCTTTTCTTTTGTGGCCCCTATTCTATGTCCCTTCCTTCAGGAAGTCCTCCCTGATTTCCTCACCAACATGTGTATAGCGCCCCCCTGTCTCCCCTCCTCCCTGGTGACTCTGTTAGTGATTGCTACCTGCTTACTCTGTTTCACCACTGGCCTACGTGGAAGAGCTTCAAGGTGCAGGGACCCAGCCCCCAGGCTGCTCCGCTCTCGTTGGCCACATAAGAGTTACTTGGCTCTCTGCATCCTGGTTCTTGAGTTGTTAAATGCAGTTAAAATAGCATTTACCTCACAGGGTGGTTATAGGGGTTTTAAGAGGCTTTATGTGCAAATACCAGGGCATAGCTATGTACATAACAACTACTCAATAAATATTAGCCAGTATTTATTTAATAACTATGTCTAGGACATCAGAGATATTCAACAAACTTCTGAAACCATCTGATTTAATTATTCTTGCATAATGCTTATTACATGCTAGACACTGTTCTCAGCATGTTACAGATGTTACCAATCTACAAATATTAACTCGTTCTAAAGATAAAAAAAAAAAACCGAGGCCCAGAGAAGTTAAGTCACTTGCCCAAAGTAAGACAACTTTGGTGGAGTCAGAAGAACACCCAGGCCGTCTGGCCCCACCATCCGTTTTTATTTTTTAAAGATTTATTTACTTATGCATACAAGAACTGGGGCACAGGCCAAAGGTTCCGGGAGTTGGTGAAAGGATTCACCAGAGACAGAGTGGGGAGCAGAACAGGCCCACTGATGAAGTACAGCGCTAAGGGGAGCAGTGGGCGGGGTCGGGAGAGGTCTCTGCACCACCATGTGGGTCAGCTCCCTGGCTGGGATCAAACTTGTGCTTCAGTGGCTGAGGACAGCTTCATAGTGCTGCACTTTAACCCCTTGCGCCACCAGGGAGGGCCTCCACCATCCATGTTTTTAATCGACAGAGTGAACATGCCTTTGTGGTGAGGGAAAGCAGGGACTTCACCTACAAAAATTAATTTTCCACCCTCGTCCTGTTTCAGGTCCTGGAACTCATGGTTGGCCAGTGATATAAATGAGCTTGTTGGACTGGGTCGCTGCCCCCACCATGTCGCAGGTTATGTCCAGCCCCCTGCTGACCAGAGGCCATGCGGTCAACCTGGCCCCTTGTGAGGACTCCAGGAGGGCCCTGCACCCAGCACCCAGCCCTAGCCTGGCGCCCCAGTGTCCTTACTACACTACGGAAGGCTGGGGAGCCCAGGCCCTGATGGCCCCCACACCCTGCAAAGGCCCCACTCTCCAGCAGGCCCCACAGCTTGCAGCCAAGGCCAGCTGCCCCCCGCAGTGCCCTGGCGAGCAGGCTTCAGGGGCCCTGGATGAGCTCGACTCCTACATTGGCTTCTCACTGGAAAGCCTCAATCAAATGATCCTAGAACTGGACCCCACCTTCCAGCTGCTTCCCACAGGGACTGGTACCCCCTATGCTGAGCCCACCCCAAGCACTACCTCGAGGGCAAAGAAGGAGGAACCTGAAGCCTTGGGTAAGGACCTGGGCATGGTGCTAAGAGGGAGGCATGGGGGACTGGCTCATGGGGAGGTTTTTTTTCAAGATTTCTTTATTTGTGCATACGAGAACTGGAGTGCAGGCCAGAGGTGCGGGAGTGAGAGGATTCACCAGACAGAGTGGGGACAGAATAGGCAGATCCACTGAAACGCACTGCTCAGGGCAGCAGCAGGTGAGGCAGGAGCGGTCTGCTGTGCCCTGTGGGTCAGCTCCTGGGCCAGGGATCAAACTCGTGCTGCAGTGGCTGCAGACAACTTCAAAGTGCTGCAGCTTAACCCGTTGCACTGCCAGGGAGAGGACTATTCTATCAAATCAGGGGAGCAGGCAATGATGTCCTGCTTGGGTGGGGTGGGGGGAGGTGCTGTGTAGCTCTAAACAAATCACTGACCCTCTCTGTTTTCTCAGCTATAAAAAGAGGCTAAATCTAAATTTCTGTCACTATGCAGTTCTACTTGGCTCCTGAGTTCGGAAAGTGATGACGAATATGTAATTTATAAGAATTTTGCACAGTGCCACGCATATAAATAAGAGCTTGATAAATGTGGGGTCCCTGGCAATCGCTGTTCTACGGTCTCTTTAGGTCCTACCCCGGGCCCCTTGTTATTTCTGTAGGATTGGTATCTGGGTCCAGTGCCTGTATAGGGGAAGAGCTCTCTGGGAAAGCCCAGATGGATGTAGTGGGTTTGGGGAGACAGAAAACAGTCTACTTAGGCTGAAGCAACACTGTTGGGCTGCAGCAACATTGGCCAACATGGAACAACCAGCTCCGTGGTGAGATAGGGGGAGGGCCTCATTTGAAGCGTCTGCCAGTTTTCTTGCTGCCAACATGTCCCTGGATGTGACTCCAGAAAGAGATCACTGTTGGCCACTGTTTGGCATGTCCAGCTTATCAACACCACAGATGTCAACAGCCTCAGGAGCACAGAGAGCAGTGAAACGCACTCAAATAGTGGGATGTGATGATGACGAGTATTTGTTACTTTTGCTTTTAACGTAAGTTAAAAGCTTTCATGGCTGAGTTTAGCAACCAGATGCACAAAGTCCTAAACATTTAACACCAGGTCCCGGTACACACCAAGTGCAGTGTATCCCACACCCTCGGGAGTCTAGAAGCTCCTGCCTTGGCTTCCGGGTCCCAAACAAAGAGCTTCAAGTGTGCCTGAGGCTGATGGTCAAGGAGCCAGGCCAGTGGAGGGGTGGAAAACTGAGCCCCCAGGGGCTGAATCAGGGGCTTAGTCAGGAGCAGACGGGGCCCATGCAGACGTACGGTACTAGGCACTGAGCTGGGGCAGAACTTGTAATCCTCCCAACCCACCCCCATGAGATGAGTGTTTTCATCCTCATTTTATAGATGAAAAAACTGAGGTTGGCAGAGTTGAGTAAGGAGCCAGCCCAGCCCCATTACTGGAGCCAGGCAAAGCTCCCCCAAGCTGTTTACTTCACTTCTTTATAGTCTTGGAGTCCTGATCCACAACCCAGAGATGAGCTCTTACCTCAAAGGGTTGAGGGGGTTAAAAGAAATAGCAGCGGTTGGGTGTTTACCACAGATCCTGGCGCACCACAGTCATTATTTTTATTAAACCCTGGGATTGCGTTTAGGACCAGCCCCAGGGTAGGTTCAGGCTCTGGGGTGGAGGCGAGCGGGGCATCCAGGTCCTCGGCGGGCGCCCCGGGTCTGGTCCCGGCGAGGCCCTCGGCTCCTCCCCCAAGCACTGCCTGCCAAGCCTGTTAAAAGAACGGCTCCATGCTTCGGAGCCTTCCAGCCTCTGAAGGGCAGTCATCACAGGCAAGTCTCTGCAGGGAAGGTGGCGTGGGCCTGACGACTATTAGCAGGCCCAGCCCAGGGTTTTAATGTTCCTGCCCCAAGGCAAGGGTTCCATGCACGCAATGAGATGCCCGCTCAGGCAAGACAGGGTGTGTGGCGGGTCCCGATGTGCGGACTGGCGGTTGCCAACCAGGCCCTCCCTCCCAGGGGCTGAAGGGCAGTTCTCAGCTGGGCACAACCTACGGTCATGAGGACGAGGCCTTCTGACCCTGGGGGGCGGGGGGCCGCCGGGGGCGGGGACTGACAGTGGTCAGAGAGTCCTAGCACTGCCTCGACCTCTCCTCTAACTTCTGCTTGGCAAGTGGGTGAGCGCCCCCATAGAACCTTCTCTGGGTCACTGTGGGTCGCCTTCCAACACCTTCCCCTCAGTCCACCCCTGCCAGTGACAGCATCCTGGGCTGCCCCGAGAGGTCCGCTGGCTGACTGGCCCCCAGCTGTCCTCCTTCTGCGCTCTCATCCATCCTGCTTTAGGGTGTTGAGGGGAGACCCCTACGATCAGGACACTAGCAGGTGCTGGCTGTCTTACCCTGGCAAAATTAAAAGCTGGCCAACCTATATTGACGCTGCCCCGAAATATAAATGGACAGGCTCTGGGGATGCATGACCCTGGCCTGCACCCTATGAAAGAGAGCGGTGACCCCACCTCACAGAAGAGAAAACTCAGCCGGTGGAGGGGAAGTGACGGCCTGACAGGGGCACGCCACACGTGGTCAGGCCTCCAGCTCCAGCTCCTGGATGCTAAAGTCCATGTTCCGGCCAAACCCTGGCTTGGAAATAATCTTCTACCCCCTCAGTCAGGGCTTTACAGAATAAATCTGTTGGGGGGGGTACCTGTATGCCCCTCCTCTGAGGCACCCAGTGCTCACATACCTTCCCCCAGGGTCCCTGCTCCTACCTCTTTCTCGCCTTCCTTCTGACACACTGGGAGAGCCCCCACCGCACAGGGAACGTGGCTTCTAGAAGCGAACATCACACCCCTTTCCTTATCCTCTCTACCACCCCAGCTCCATCTTTGGAGCAGGCCCCCACACTTCATTTTCCAGTCATTTATGCCAGTCGAGGCTGCTTGCCAACTCCAAGGTGCGGGTGTTTAATAACTGCCTCTCCACCCCTCACCCACGTGCCTCCCCCCTCACCACCCGCCTGGTGCTGGCGCCTGCATCCACCCAGCACTGCCCAGACTTGCCCCACTGGCCTGTAAACAGCGGCTGCACCCAGGGGGTGGGGGTGCCGCAGGGGACCCACTTTCCCCCCACCTCACCACATCTACCTCAGGACAACAAGAGAAATGACTCACTGGTGGCTCTGGGTCTCCTCCCTCCTCCCTGCCCTGCTCACTTGGCAGCCAAGCAAGGCCTTTGGTAGGGGGCTGATGACCCGTGGGAGGGCCCAGAGCTTCTGCAGGCTGGAAAACCCTCCCAAGGCGACCGAGCACTTTCTCACTGGGCCAGGCCTTGGGGAAAGGTCCCCAGGAGCCCCAGCGCCTCCTCCAAGAAACCAGAGCACAGGGGACCAGTGGGTTCTCCACTCCCTGCTGTATGGCCTTGGATAACTTACCCAACCTTTCTGAGCCTTGATTTCTCATCTGACCCATGGAAAGGAGTTACCGTGAGGGTTAAATGCATTAAGCGAGGTGACGTGCTCGTGACAGCTCTGGAGCACCTCACTTCATACTGCCTTTATTAAAAACTGGGCCATACATGTTAGCTCGGCCCCCATATCCCTCTGAGCCTCAGTTTCCTCCTCTGTAAGAGCAGGGCCTGCCAGCATTGGGCTAAAATGTTGTTGTGAGCCTTGAGAGGATTGGGAGTGTAAACGATAAAGTGCTATAAAAACAAAAGCTGTGTTCCAACCTTCCAGAAGTTTCCACCCCATTCCGAGGCCTGTTGTCATTCAGAGCGTGTGCAACGTGGAGCCAGACTTTCTCCTCTTGCCCTCAGCAGTGGGACCCCAGGGGAAAATCAGCAAAAAGCAGGCAGATGGGAGATGTCCCTCAAAGCCCACCGGGGCCGGGCCCCAGGCTCGCTCGTCCTCACTACAAGCCCAGGAGGCTGGTTGCAGATGAGGAAACTGAGGCTCAGAGCAGCCAGGGGGGTTACCCACTGCCTCTTGGCGGGAAAGCGGCAGGTTTGTGTGATGACAAACCCAAGCCTGCTCCACTTCCTGGAGCAGCAAGTCCAGGTCAGCCCTCCAGCCCCCACTCTTGTGATGTAACACTCCACCCCCACCCTGCCCAAGCAGGCTCAGACAGAGGCAGCACCGTGAGGAGCAGCCTACCCAGGAGCAGGCTGGGACAGGCAGGGACTCCACCGTCACGGCGGGCCGGGCGAGGGGTGCATGTACCAGAGCCCAAGGGGGTGGGAGGCTGGCACATGGAAAGCTGAGGTGCCATTTCCCTCGGACTCCACTCTGGGAATCTTCCAGAAGGGAGCATCTTGGTGACCACCCCCCTCACCTGGAACAGCACCAAGGACATCTCCCCCTCCCCAGGCTGGAAAGAGGGGTGTCCATCCTCACCCTGAGGAGAAGCTCAGGGTGCCCCCCATCAGGAGGGAACCAGGTTGAGGGGCATGGTCCCTGGGGTCCACCAAGGGCTGGAAAGAGCAGCAGGGGGAGGCAGGCTCCTGCTCTAGAGCCACGTTCTCACACTTAGAGATACACCCAAACCCCGGAGGTCTCGCTAAAACACAGGGCTGACTCGGCAACCCTGGCTGGGCCCTGTGGCAGTGAGGCCCTGAGGGTGCACACGAATCACCTGGGGAACTAAACAAACAAACCCCGAGGCCTGGCCCACCCTGGAGACGCTGATCCAACTGGCTCATGGTGGGGCCTGGGCACTGGGATGCCCAACGCGCAGCGATTGCTTCTAGAATGTGTCTAGATGGAGAAGCCCGGCCATCAGTGCAGGCATAGACTGAGAAACAGTTTCCACGCGGCCTAAGAGGCCTCCAGATGTGACTCAGTCAAGATGTCATTTCCACAGGGGTCGGGGGGTGGGTGGCCAGCAGACACCAAGGAGGGGTCCCCCACTGCACAGGGCTTCTATGTGCCAGGCAGTGTGGTGCCTCCTGTGTCTTTCACTCATCCTTTCACTCACTGTAACCCCAGCGGGTGGAGCAGAGACCCCTCCAATTTGCAGGTCTGGAAAAGGAGGGTGCTGGTAGTGAAGCCCAGCCAAGCTCTCTCACACAGTAAGTGGCGGAGCCAGGCTGTCCAACTCCAAGATCTATGTCCCGTCCACTGCGGGTGGAGGGTGACTTCAGGACTGGGCCCTCAGGGAGACCTGGTGCTGACCCTGACTCCAGCCAGCTTCTCCTCTCCGTGCTTCAGATTCCTCCCCAATATAAGAAAGAAGGTACCAGGGGAATCCAAAGACCCTTCCGGCATTCTCACTCTGTGGGCCACGCTCCCCCGTTTCACCATTGCTCTGTTTCTCCCCCCACAGATATAAAGTACATTGAGGTGACCTCCACCAGATCAAGGTGCCACGACGGCCCCCAGCGCTGCTCCAGCCCGTCCGTCACCCCACCCTTCGGTTCCCCACGCAATGGCGGCCTCCTCCTCTCCAGAGACACCCCCAGAGAGACTAGAAGCAGCAGCGAAAGCCTCATCTTTTCAGGGAACCAGGGCAGCCGGCACCAGCGCCTGCCTCCCCAGTCTGGAGCTCTGTCCGCTCACGCCCCATCCTCTCCCAGCACCTCCATCCCTTGCATGAGGAGTAAGACCTCCAGCCCCCGTGGCTTGGGCTCCCCACTGGTGGCTTCTCCAAGCCTGGAGAAGAGGCCGGGGGCCCCACAGCGGGCCAGCAGGGTCTCCGTGCTGTCGGCCAGCCCAGCGTCGGACGTCAGCGACATGTTTGGAAGGTAGGTCTCGCCACTCCTGCTGTGTCAGTGACACACACGCACACAGATCCTGGGCACCAAAAATAAGGGCACCCTCACATCCACTGGGATCTCAACCCTCCTCAAGCATTTAGAATCTGCAGGATTCAATCTGCAGAATTCCTAACTCCTGCCTATCTGCTGGGAAAACAACCTTTCTGTGTCCTCTCCAGGCCCCACACCACGCATGTCAAGGGAGGTTCTTTGTTTCACCTCAAAGCACAGGGGTGTAAGTAGAATTAGAGGGTCCTGGGATGAACCATTTAGGAAGAGAAACACCACCTTCCTCTTCGCTGCTGGCAAAAGCGAGCAGGCGGAGGCAAGGTGACTGGACAGTATTCAGTCACGGCGGCCCAGTTCTTAGTAACCAAACCACAGGAACTCTGTCCTGCACACCAGGGCTGCTGTGCCAAGGTCACCCCTGACAAGGAGTCTGGGACTCCACAGGGGCCTCTGAGCTCAGGAAGAAGTCTGATGGGCACAGAGCTGGCCTCCTTCTCCTCCAGCGGGGCAATCAGCCATGGACACGGTCCGGCCCAGCCCTAGTCAGGCAGGACGCTTGCGAGGACTGGAGGCGAGGGTGATAGTTCCATGAGACGCCCCTGGCTGGGAAGGCGCTGACCCACATGAACACAAGCTACTTGAAATGACCAAAGATGGCACAGAGCAGGGGTGTTTCTGTAGCCTCCAGCATCCCTCGGGGATCAGGTGGCATGCCCTTTGCTCTGGGCCGTGGTAAGTGACATATGCAGGCCTCTATTTGATGAAAGCTGTGGGCACCCAGATCCTTGCGTGTCACCTCAACACCCTAACACCCTGCCTGTCTGGTGCTGTCACCCCTGCAGCAGCCAGTGCCTCCTCCACTCCAGCTTCTCCAGCCGTCAGTCATCTTCTAGGTCCTTGGAAAGCCCAGCCAGCTCTTGTTCCAGCCTCCACAGCCTGGGCCCTGGGGCCCCGAGTCTGAGAACCAGCGACCTCCAGGCTCCTAGCAACCCCACCCCCAGCATGGGCCAGCCCAGAGCAGCCCACTTCTCATCAATGGCCAAGGAACACGCCAGCAGCTGCCCCCCCTCCATCACCAACTCCATGGTGGACATTCCAATCGTGTTGATCAATGGCTGCCCAGAACCGGGGTCTCCCCCACCCCAGAGGACCCCAGGACACCAGGACTTTGTCCGACCTGGAGGAGCTTCTTCCAGCAACTCCAGTCCGGCCACCAGGAGTCACAGCCAGAAACTGCCAGATGCCTCTCTCATCACGTCCCCAGATGGTACGTTGTAAACCAGTACTGTGGACGCTGTGAGGTTGGCCAGGGCGAGCAGGCGGGCTCAGCAGGGCACACGCTGACGGAAGAGTGCTGAGGGCCAAGGACGGTGCCGGGCCGTGGGACACAGGCATGGACAGGGTCTAGACAGAGGTGGAAACCAAGGGTTACTACAGAGTAAACACAGAGGCCAAGAGATGTTCTAGGCTAAGGGGCCTCAGAGGAAGACCTGATCCTTTTCATGTGGAAAACTAGACAGTTCCGCAGAGGGGGGATATCTGAGCTGGATCTGGAAAGTCGGGCAAAGCCTGTGGCCAGAGAGGAGAGGAAGGGCAACCCCGGGGGGCTGGGGGGCCGAGCATGCCCACAGGCAGGAAGGCGAGGGGCCACAGGCATGCCTAAGAAAGGACTAGTATATTGGGTATGGGGTAAGGTGATGGAGAGCAATCTGGGGCCAGATGGCCCCAAGCTAAGGCGTGGGTTTTTCCCTTTGGGCAAGGGGGCCGGCAGGATCTCGGCAGAGCGGTAGGTCTGAGGCGCACGCTCACCAGGCCCCTCCTGGGGTCGTGTGTGCGGCAGGAGAATGACAGGGCCTGGGTGGGGTGACGTGGGGAGCAGTTTCTATGTTTGGTTCCCTATGGGTTTGCATCGCGAAGAGGTCCAGACAAGTCGTCATGGGGACCTGAACCAGGGTGGGGCTGGCGGTGCGGAGAGAGGCCAGAGCCAGGAGACCCTCAGGACACGGAAGCCGCAGCCCTGATGAGTAACGGGCAACGAGTCAGTCCTAGCGCAGACGCTGACGCTTGTGGGTGATGCGCACTCGGAGCAGGGGGGCGCGGGGGGGGGGGGGGGTCCGAGACAATGCATTCCAGTTTAGACAGCTAAAAACCGCAAGAGGCAAACACCCTCCTCCTCCCCACAGTCTGTGACTACAGGCGCCCAAAAGAACAAAGCCAGCCAAGCCCCGTGCTGTGAGCACAGGCTAAGCGGGGCGCTCCTGGCAGTGCACCTCTCCCAGTGAGCCCCTGGCCCAGGGACCCCCGCCCCTGCCTCCCACCACGACTCCCAGGCTTCACTGTCCCCCCACAGGCACCACAGTGACTTGGTGGCCCTGAGAGGGCTGTGAAGCGCTCGCTCCCACCACAGCTCAGCCCTCTCACCGTGCCACTTGCATGTCCACCCCAGCAAGAGAAAAAGAACAGGACAGCGATGCCCTTGAATCCGTCCTGATTGTCTTCCCAGGACAAATCATCTGCAGATTTTAGTACATTTTTGATAATGATTTTCTTTTTTTTTTTCAAGATTTATACAGAACTGGGGTACAGGCCAGAGGTGCAGGGGCAGGGAGAAGATTCACAAGACTCAGAGTGGGGAGCAGAGGCAGACTGATGAAGCACACTGCTGAGGGGAGCAGCGGGGGGTCAGGGGAGGTCTGCCGGCCATGTGGTCACCTCCAGGGCTGGGGATCGAACTCGCACTGGAGCGGCTACAGCCAGCGTGCAAGTGCTGGGTCCTAACCCGTTGTGCCACCAGGGCGGGCCTATAATGACTTACTTTCAACACATGTTCTCAAGAAGCCGAAACTGAGAACTGTTCCTGACTTGGGGACGCATAGAAATGGGCCCTTTGACTTCTCAAAGCACATTGAATGGGGATGTTCTCATTCTGGGTTTGGGGGTGCCTTAGCATATCACAACTGATAGATACCCTGGGGTCTTATCAAAGTCTGCAAAATATTCTCGGAACGGAATGCATGTCATTTCCCAGCCTCGGGGCCCCTCAGCAGTCTCTGGTTCCCTCCATCCAGGGCCCAGGAGGAAAAGCGCTGTCCCGAATCCAAATCAAGGCCCCTCCCACCTGCCCAGCAGCCTGCTGCACAGATTTGCTGTCTCCTTTTTATCACCTGCTCTTTCATTTTTTCCAAATTTCACCTACCTCTCAGGAAATCATAGGGAGAAGAGGGTGAGACCCCCCAAAATTGATGCATCTCAGAATCCCTTACTTATCCCTTATTTCAGTCCCCACCAGGCCACATCAGTCCCGAGAAACTTGTTTCTCATTAAACGGAGATTTTATCTATTTGTTTGTGATTCATTTCCAAGGATACAAGAGGAGACTCTTAAGTCAAAGATGTGCCAAGCCCTGGAATTTTTCTGGATTTTTGGAATGTGCCTCTTTGGGGACCTGGAGATACAATGGCAGGGGGCAGTGGGGAGCCGGTGAAGGGGACCACTGAGCGGAGACTGCAGAGGCTACCTCGGCTGCCCTCTGTCCAGACTACAGGGTGCCCATTCTGTTTGTCTCCAGGTCCCACCAGAGACATGCAGCCCACCATGAAGTTCGTCATGGACACATCTAAATTCTGGTTCAAGCCAAGCATCACCCGAGAGCAAGGTAAAAGGAAGCACTGTGTCAGGGACAGGAGACCCAGGGATCAGACGTGGGTCCTGCCCTCTACGGCGGGCACGCGAGGTCCCGGGTCATAGCAGTGGAGGGAATGGCGAATGGCATCTCCAGGAAAAGGAGCGGTCCACTGACTGACCTGAGCACCCAAGGGAACAGGACTACAGCGGGAGGGCTGGTGGTCAGATAACAGAAGGGACTTCCTGCGAACAAAAGGTGCTGCTGCCGTGGTTGCTCTATGAAGACACTCAGGGGCGGAGGGACAGGGGCTGTCCAGGTGGGGTGGGGACTGTCTCTGACCCAAGGATTGTTCCAGCGATCGAGTTGCTGAGAAAAGAGGAGCCAGGGGCTTTCATCATGAGGGACAGTTCTTCATACCGAGGCTCCTTCGGCCTTGCCCTGAAGGTGCCGGAGAACCCCACACCTGCCCAGAGCCAGAACCGATCAGGTATGCTCCTGCCTCATAGCGGGTGGAGGGCTAATCGGGCTCCACTGCCAGTTTGCAGCCTGACCTTGGGCCAGTCCCAGAAAGGCCACAGGGGTCCGCGGCCTCCAGCACCCAGCCCTGGGGTGCTCCTCCCCCTGCGTCTGCCTCCCCAAGTCCCCAGAGTCCCTGTTCTGCTCTCCTCGGGGGAAGAAAAAGGGAGAAGTCCCAGCCTCTCCAGGCTGCTCTCCCAGCACCCGCCTGTGGCCAGGCCAGGCGGAAGGCGGGGTGGCCTACTGTAGTCGTAAAGTGTGTGAGCTTATCGCGCGTGTGTGGTAACTTGTCACGTGCGTGGGCTTGCTCATCACACGTGGGATGACTCACCATGCGTGCGTGTGCTGGCTTAGCACGTTTGCCCGAGCCACACGCCTCTGGGCCACCTGCCCTTGCCCCAGGTGCCTCACTTGAGTGAAGGATAAAATTCTACTGTTACAGCACACGGTACCAGCTCCCCTCAGCCCCCAGGGCCGGAGCCCTCACAGAACAAACTGATGACATAACGCAGCTTCCAGCCAGCTAGTGACGCCCCTCCACCCCGCCCTGAGTGATAGGGTGAGGACAGAAACCTGTGTTCTCTACACCCCACCTCTCTGCCTAAATAGGGAGGTGACTGGGCTGTGCTGGTGATGGAGGAGATCTTGCTAGAGGCGACAAGCCCAAAGAGAGTCAGGCGCCGCCCTCGGGCGGGGGGCGAAGGGCAAGGGCCCCGTGCGCCTCCGAGGACCAGCCTGGGCCCAGCCGAGGCCATCTGGGGAGAATAATGGTAGCCCGATGGTAGGGGCCACTATTGGTAAGCCAGGCTGGAGAGAAGTTTTGAACAGTCATCGAGAACCACCCCCAAAAGCTCTTGAGACCGAGAGAAAGGTCTCCTCGAGGGACGGAAAGGAACACAGACGCCTTGAAGCAAAGCGCCGGCGCCCCTTGGCGCCCCTTTCTGGAGGCCCTGAGGACAGGGCTCTGGCCCACGGTCCAGAGGGATGGACAAGTTCAGCTCTGACAGACCCAGGGGAAGCAGGTCAGGCAAGGAGCAGGTGAGCGTCCGTCCAGCACCCGGCCAGGGAACGCCCACCCACGTGCGCTTTTTGCTCCTCTGTCCAGGGGAGGACAGCAGTGACCTTATCCGCCACTTCCTCATCGAGTCTTCCGCCAAAGGGGTGCATCTCAAAGGAGCAGACGAGGAACCCTACTTTGGTGAGGCCCTGCCCCTGCAGGCCCATGGGTGGGCCCCAGCTTCTGGGCTGGGAAGGCGGCCTCGGGAAGGCTTTCTCACGCGGGGCTCCCCGTCTCTTTGCAGGGAGCCTCTCGGCCTTTGTGTGCCAGCATTCCATCATGGCCCTGGCCCTGCCTTGCAAGCTCACCATCCCACAGAAAGGTGGGCCTGGGCCCCGGGGAACGGCTAACGGCGGGCCACACTCTCTGATCTCTCCAGAAAGGCCCCAGCAGTCATTTCTCACCTATGTATGGATGATTTTAGGATCAAATAGTCAAAGAGCATTCCCTAGGGTCAGCCGAGGTCTCTACTTCCTACCTGAGAATTTGAGGTCAATCCGACCCTCAGTCTCCTCACCTGTGAATTGGGCACTGTCATCCCCACGCCTGATGGGGTTCAGGGGGTTCAGAAGACAACTCAGGCCAGCAGCTTAGCACCATGCCCAGCACAGAGTAGGCACCTGAAAAAGAATTGTCCTTTTTGAGAGGCTGGATCAGGAAGGAGCATGAATCTGCCCGTTTGGAGAGTTTGGGGTTTTTTCCCAGCTCCCCACCTCTCTGTGCCCTTGCAAAGTAGATGTTGCCCTGACCTCCCCTGCTTTACTGATTTTAACAAGGCGAGCCCAGGGAGCTAAGTGACCCCCCAAAGGCTCAGCCCAGCAGGACCCTGGCCCAGGCGCAAGGACCAGGAGAACCCCAGAGGAATATGGCAAAGAAAGCCCCTGGGTTGGGGCCCCCCCACCTGAAGACCAGGTCAAGGTCACTGTAGCCATGCAGGGCAGGGACTGGCGAGGGGGAGGACGGACCAGGAGGTTTGCAAGCTGGTCGTTGGGGGAGTGCAAGTGACCTCACTTGCCCAACTGCAGTAATCACACCTGGTTTCTCGGCCAAGTCACTTCCCTGAGGTCCGGGAGGAGGCGGGAGAAGTTAAAAGGGTTTAATGGGGCCTGCTCTGAGGAGCTAAGAGCGGGCTTGTTCCTTTGCTTTGGCTCAGAGTTGGGAGGTGGAGTCGGGGCCTCAGACCCCTCTGTGGACGGCCAGTCTGCCTGCCTGAAGAGATCTGCAGGTGAGTGAGCGGAGGGCGCCGCCGTGCCGCTCCCCGCGGGGCACCCCGCCCCGCGCACGCAGGCACAGGCCCACACGTGTCTCCCATCACCACCTCATTTCTTCATTTTAACAAGGTGCCACGTCCCCGCCCCGTAAACCCAGACATGAGAAGCTGCAGGCAGAGGGCCAGGGGAGGAGGGGCGCGAGAGTGGTGGGCGGCACTTCCCTGGGTGCACGGACATGCCGGGTCTGGGGGGCGGGGGGGGAGGGCCTGTGGGGCCACAGTCAGGTCCGAGTCCAGAGGCCTCTCCGCCCCGCGTGTCCAGAGCCCGGCACAGATCCGCACTGGTCTGTGACAGCCCTGTTCGGTCACAGAGCGGAGCGCCCTGCCCGCCCTTGCCTTCTCTTCCTTCTCTACAAGGAGCCAGGGCCCCAGGCAGGGTGGGGGAGAAGTGGCGCCACAGGTCAGGACCCAAGGAAGTTCTGCCAGATGCCCTGCGGGCAGGTCAGCACCCTGCCTGTGTCCTACCCTGGAGGGCCAGAGCAGAGCAAAGCAACTGACAAGCCCAAAGTACTCTGGGGTTGGCCCCAAATTACAGTCACCCTCCCTGTCTGCCTGCCCGGTGGCTCAAAGAGCAGCCCCACTGGAGTCCTGAAAAAAGAAAGTTCCCCTCTGCCCTGGCTCTGGGCAGAGAGAAGACCAGGGTCTAGGTGACCCCTCAACCCGCTGCATGGACCCTGGCAGAACCCCAAAGCAGCGTCTGCCTCCCACAGGCTGCCACGTCCTATACTTGAGCTCTGTGGGCGTGGAGACCCTGACGGGGGCACTAGCCGTGCGCAAGGCCATCTCGACCATCCTGGAGAGGGACGTCCTCCCCACGCCCACGGTGGTCCACTTTAAAGTCACGGAGCAGGGCATCACGCTGACGGACGTCCAGAGGAAGTAAGGGTCCTGCTTTGCCCTGGGCTCAGACCTGGCAGGGTGAGCCAGGCGGTGTGGGCAGGAGACGAGGGGAGAGTTCAGGTCCTGGAGCCAGTGGGGTCAGTAAGGCCCTGAGTGACCCAGGCAAGTTCTCTGCCTTCTCTGCGCCTCACGCCAAAGGCCTCCCAGAGGCCCCTTCCCTGTGGCTGATGGAGAGAGAATTAGCTGGTCTTAGTGGGCACCTAAGTCTGCACCTGTGGGTGCCAGCATGGCAGACCTCAGAGACAGTGGGGTGAGGTCACTGCTTCGGGGCTCAGGGAGCCCAGCTCTGGAGGAACAAGAGATGACCAAGACCGGATTCTTATCCTCAAGTCATTAAGTAGCATGGTGGGCCGGGAGAAGAAGGGGGCACAGACAGGAACCCCAACAGATGCAGCCTATGATAGGAAAAAGTGTAAGCCTGGGCCTCAGGGCCCAGCAGTGGGACAGGTCACAGCCGGCGTTAGGAGTCTAACTGGGAGGCTTCTCGGAAGGGGGGACACCTGGCGGGGGCGGGCGGCAGGCGATGGTGAAGTGGGCAGAGCACCAGCGCGCTCTCCCCAGCACCCCCCTCTCCCCACCTCCCAGGGTGTTCTTCCGGCGCCATCACCCTCTCGCCACCCTCCGCTTCTGTGGCATGGACCCCGAGCAGCGGAAGTAAGTGGCGGGGGTCAAGGACCCCCATGCGGGGCCTGCTGACTCTGGGGTAGGAGTCAGAGTGCTGTACGGGCAGGGTGGGTGGTGCCTCTGCTGCCCACTGCGTCCTGGGCACTCATGCCACCGCTTCCTTCCCCGCAGGTGGCAGAAGTACTGCAAGCCGTCCTGGTAAGGCCTCCACCCAGCCAGACACCCCTGCACCCCGAGGGAAGGGAGCTAGGGGAGGCGGAGCCCCCAACCCGAGGAACCCCCTGTTCCCACCTGGTGGTGGAAACACTGCCTGGGAGCCCTCAGTCTTATGTGGGGGTCTTGATCTGTGGGGTACCACCCTCTGAGAAATCAAGGCCTATCTGTGCCTTCAGGAATCTTCCACTGTGAAAGGGAAAACCCCAGTCCTGTCCTGGGGATCCCCCATTCAAAATGAGGGAAACCCAGACCTCGAGTTTGGAGATCTGCCCATCTGGCAGGGAGTCAATGTCCAGTCCTGGCATCACCAGGCAGGGAAGGGGCAAGAGAGAGGCGCACTGTGTGGCCTGAGCCCCACCGGGCACCCTGGTCCCCGCCCTCACTCAGCCTGCCCTCTCCCTGCAGGATCTTCGGGTTTGTGGCCAAGAGCCAGACTGATTCGCAGGAGAACGTGTGCCACCTCTTTGCTGAGTACGACACGGTCCAGCCGGCCGCTCAGGTCATCAGCCTGGTGAGCACCCTGCTGCAGGACACAGACAGGCTGTAGCAGGAGGGAGCCTCCTTGTGCGCCCCAGACATCCCTCGGGAAGGGAGAAGCCCTGAGCAGGGCCCAGCTTGGGCTGGAGGAGAACAGTACCCGGCACTCTGGAGCTGCGGTGACCTTCAGTGGTGACCTTCAGCCAGACCCTCCTGGGCCCCAGGTTTCTCAGCCCTGCAAGGAGGCCAACACACAGCATTGATCTTCTCGGACTTTGATGAGCATCTCATTGAGCTTTCTAAGATCCGGAAGGATGCTCCCATGAAAGGGAGGACCCCCCAGCACTACCACTTCTGAGGTGAAAACAACCTCTGAGGACCCCTGAGGCCATCAGCCAAGACACTACCAATGGCCTGAGCTAGGCATGGCTGATGGTTCTGGGGCAGCCGCAGATGCTGGGTTGGGATACCTGGGCCCTGGCCACGCGGGCCCGGCTCAGACGGCCGACTTCCCTCCAGAATTCTCCTTTTCCCTACTTTCTTGACCATTTCTTGGGCAGCTGTTCCCAAGACAAGAGTGTGTCTGCCTGTTCTGGATCCTTTAGGTCACTGTAACTCTGGTTGTTGGAGCAACTTAAGAAGGGGACATTGGCCCCCAAGGTCAGAGACAATCAGCTGTCCTCTTGTTCTTGTGATCTCTATCTCTCCATTGCCAGCAAGGATCCGTCCCGTCTTTTCAAGTTTCTTGGTAACCAAGTGTCTTCTAGCTGCATCCCAGCTAGCTAGCTAGTGTTTGTTTCTCACACCCGGAGAATGGTTCTACCTCAGTGGCAGTCTTGCTGAGACCATCCTGCCCCCCACCCCACCCCCCCAAACACCCACACACACCTGCTGTAGTGGTGTGGCGGCCGTCAGCTTCACACCACATGGGGGCAGCAGAGAGTCAAGAATGTGACGGAAGCCACGGGCCTTCCCGAAGCAGGGCCTGTTTTCTGCCCACCGCACACCCCCAACCCTGAACTAGTTTGTCTAGCAGGCCTGGGGCGCTAAAGACACCACGCCATGGGGGTGGAAGGGGCCTTAGAGAAGAAGCCCATTCACTAGCTGAGGAGAAAGGCCTGCCTCCTTCCAGCTGCAGGCCCTGCCAAAGCATCATGGCATCTTTGACCAAAGTCTGATGAGCTTAAGGTTGTGATTTCAACCCAGAAAAACAAACCAGACTGTAGAGGCCCTCGGCCAGCAGGAGCAGCTGAGACCAGCTCGCCCAGCCCCTGACCAGGCCTTGCCTCATCCCCTGAGGCTGCAGAATGCTGGACAGCCTGCTCAAGGTCACACTATCTCAAGGTCACAGCCTGGGGGTGACAGAGTGCCCCCCCCAAACCCTTGGGTCCTTGTGTAGTTCCCATCACAGAAAATCAAGTGTCTGTCTTTTACACAAGTCGGTTCTAAGCAGGGCTGCTCCCTCAGACACAGAAACATGAACAGGGAGGGGACCTGCTGGCAGGGAGAGTCTGTGTCTGAAAGACCAGGGATGCCAGCTCCCCACAAAGACACTGAATACACTGCAGAGGGGAACAGTGGGAGAGACAGGAAAGACCTGCTGTCCCCCACATCTCCAGCACACTTTTTCTCTGTGACCCCTTTCCTGCTACCCTGCCAGGAAGACAGAAAGGTTGGGGTTTCCCCTGAGTCCGGTGGCCTAAGGTCAGTATATAGCACTGCTGATTAACCCCCAGGCCTCACCAGGGGCCCCCTGTGGGTTGAGGAGATACATAGGCCCTCAAGGGGAGTTCAGCAGAGTCCCTCAACCCAGAGGTGCCTCGAGCTACCAGCTCAGACCCAGAGTCCTGGACCACAGCCCCTGACTCCACCTGGGCCTTGGGCTCTGCTCCCAACTTCTCCAATCCCGGGGCTTACCTCCTCTGACCGTCCTCAACCGCAGCTGCAGATGGGATTCAAGACTGGGGGCCACGTCTCACCAGGTGTGCGGCAGGAGGGGCGGGAGGGCTTAGCTTTCCTTCAGAACGCGGGAGGGGACAGCTTGGTTCATGTTTGGGCTGAGCTGCAGCAGGGCCTGCCCTGGAGGGCTGTGAAGAGACCTCCCAAGGGCCTTGCGTCCCACAGAGAATCCCCTGCCTCCTTTCCCACCGCAACTGCAGTTTCAACCCTCCTTCTGCTGGCCAGCCGTGGACGGAGTCCACGGAAGGTGGCCATCTCTGTGGCACTGGACCACAGGCAGCTTCACCTGGACTTCTGCTGGAGGGCAGAGCAGCCAGTCCCGCCAGTGTGGGGGCCTGGAGGGCAGAGGGAAGGACACTTACCAAGAGCCAAGAGAAGAGGGGTCTTTGTATTTTTTTTTGAAAGACTTATTTTTGTTTTTGTTTGCCTGCAAGAACTGGGGTACAGGACAGATGTGTGGGTGGTGAGAGACAGGATGGGGAGCAGAAGGCAGATGGACTGATATGCACCACTGAGGGGAGCAGCAGACAAGACAGGAGAGGTCTGCCATGCCATGTGGGTCAGCTCCGGGGCAGGGGATGGAGCTCTTGCTGCAGTGGCCAACAGCTTGATAGTGCTGAGACTTAACCCCTGCACCCCAGGGAGGCCCAAGAAGAGGGGGCCTTTATACCCAAACAGGGTCGCCCAGGAGTTTTCCCTCCGGGAGTTCAGCCCTTGGTCTGAAGACCCCTCCCCAATACCCCTCCAGAGTCACTTCTCCCAACTTTCCACCCCTCTCCCTCCCTTTCTCCATCCTTCTCTCCACACATACACCACTCACCCATCCCTTCCTCATATGCCCTCTTCTGGTTTCTCTCCTTGCTCAACTTTCTCCTCATTACACCTCCATCCAGCCACCCTCAAACCCATCCTGCCCTTCTACAAAACTTTCCCTCTTTCTCTTGTCCCATATAGTTCCCTTGCTCCTCTGTCCCAGGTATCCGGACACAAAAATGCCCAGCTGCTGCTGACGTTGATGGGGAGGGAAGAGACACCCCCTGCACTGCCAACAACTTTTCAAAACTCAGATGCCCATGCCCCTAGACTGTCTCTTCTCTAGCCGCAAAGAGCCCTCTCCAGAAGCTGAAGCACCCTCACCCCACCCCATCTGCCCGTCCGCTCCGCTGTATCATCCTTGCCTCCAATATTCACCTCTCACAGCATCCAAGACCCTTGGCCTCCCTGGTGGCCTAGGGCCTAAGTCTCAGCCCTGTCACCGCCATGGCCTAAGTTCAATCCAGGGAGCTGATCCACATGGCGCAGCAGACCTCTCCTGCCTCACCTGCTGCTCCCCTCAGCAGTGTATTTCAGTAGATCCGCCTGTTCTGTTCCCCACTCTGAAGGGGATGTTACCTACTCTGAAGGCAATGTTACCAAGAAGGTAAGATTTGAGTTGGGCCTTCAAGCATTTCTAAGAGTCTGGCACACAGAGAAGGGGAGAAACTGACTTTCCTTGGGGGCCTCCTTGTGCTGAGCAGTATGTGAAGCCCACTATCTATGGCTAGTGCTTTACAGAGCAGATAATGAGAGTTAAGGGGTTACTTGCCCACACTCACCTAGCTAAAAATAGATAGGAACAGGATTCTCAAAATGTGCCCGTCCCACTGCCTCGGCACTCTCAGGTGAGCACAGGGACGAATTTGTGTGTGAAGCTCTCAATCATGAAGATATACCATGTTCAGTGTGACTGATGATATTGTACCAAGAGAGCTAGTGAGAGAAGAATCAAAGGAACGAGGCAGGAGGCAAAGTACCAAGAACCTTGAGTGCTAAGCTGAGAACATGCAGGGAATGAATATGTGTTGCGTTAATTAAGTATCTGGACTCGGGCCCACTGTTTACAGCCACAGGGGTTGCCTGACGCAGTCATACATGGCGACCCGCGTGGACTTCATCTGAGAGCTGGGCGTGATCTGCCAGCTCTGTGCTTTAGAAAGACGACTGCAGGGGCAGGAGACAGGATCTGAAACCTGGATTGAGAAGAAACATGATGGAACAAGGAAGCTGAAAGGACTTCACACTCAGGCCAGGAAAGGGAGAGCACTTAAGAGCAACTCTGACCTAGAGACAGACCTGGCAGAAGATCCTTGATCTGGGCCTGGGCCCTCGGTTCTCTTTGAACTTGGGAGGACCAATTGGCAAAAAGTAAGACCAGAAGCCCCCATCCCCTTGCAACAGTCCTCCCAAGCTGTGTGGTAGAGCACTATAAATTAGGTGACTTATCCAATAGACATTTACTTTCTCACAGTTCTGGAGCCCGGGGGTCCAAAATCAAGGTGCCAGCATGGTGGATCCTGGTGCCGGCTCTCTGGGACTTGCAGATGGCCGCCGCCTCGTGCTCACGTGGCCTATGCTCAGTGCGTGGAGAGACACTGTTCTCTCCCTCTTCTTAGAAGGTCGCAGTTCCTGCTGGATTAAGACCCCAACCATGAACTTCATTACCTCCTATAAGTCCTGTCTCCAAATACAGTCACATTAGGGAGCAAGGCTTCAACGTGTGAATGAGGGCGGAGAGGGCATCATTCAATCCATAGCACCCCTCCAGGTACGACCCTGCCCCAGACATGTGCCTCACCCCCTTTGTCCCCTGAATCCTGGCCAGACTGGGGCCTTTACCCCCAGCAAAATGGATCCTCTTCTTCCCGACTGTGCTTTGGAACCAGCGGGGCCTTGTTTTGTAACTTTCCTGGAAGGCGTCTCAGCCATTCACCTCTCCCCAGTCAAACCTTGCCAACAGGGGCAAGAGGAGCCTGGCTTGGGCAGGGAGACAACCAGGAGGAGGGATCCAGGGAGAATGAGGAGGGGGGCGGAGGAGAGAGAATGCCACTGCTGCTTCAGCAAGTCTGCGCTGAGCTTCTGTGTGAACACAGGGCTGGCCAGGAGGGGGCACCAGGTCTGCCGTGCCCTCCTCCTTGGCATTGTTCTGGGTTTGGGCTAAAGCACTCCGTGCACACCAAAATGGACTTCCCTGGGTCGCTTCAGTCTCACTCACACTCACACTCACACACACACACACACACACACACACACACACACCTCCCATCTTCAGAATTAAGAATTTGAAGCCTGGGAGGTCAGGCCGGAAGACCTGCAAGACAGGTCCCCTCTACCATCCATGAGCCGCCTGACTTAGAGCAAGTCACTCTTCTGGGCACTGGGCCGCAGTTTCCCTAGTGGTAACACCAACCAACAAAACAGAGCAGTGGGAAACCTGACGCCGT